CTTTTTATTTTTTTTTTTTAAGATTTTATTTATTTATTTGACAGAGAGAGATTACAAGTAGGCAGAGAGGCAGGCAGATTGAGAGAGAGAGAGAGGAGGAAGCAGGCTCCCTGCTGAGCAGAGAGCCCAGATGTGGGGCTCGATCCCAGGACCCTGGGATCATGACCTGAGCCGAAGGCAGAGGCTTTAACCCACTGAGCCACCCAGGCGCCCCAAGGAAAGAGTTTTTAATAAGACTAGAAGGGCATCTGGGTGGCTCAGTCAGTTGAGCATCCAACTCTGGGTTTCAGCTCAGGTCGTGGTCTCAGGGTGGTGAGATCAAACCCCACGTCAGCTCCGAACTGAGCGTGGAGTTTGCATCAGATTCTTTCCCTCTTCCTCCTCCTCTGCCCCTCCACACTGCATGCACTGTCTCATTCTCTTTCTCTCTTTCAAATAAATAAATAGATAAATACAGTCTTTAATAAGAAGACCTGAAGAAGAGCCATGGAAGAGGAAAGGATGTTTTAAAATACCATATATTTACAGAATTTAAAATTTACCGTATTTATAGGTATTTTCTTGATTCTTATGACCGCATTTGAGCAGCCATAAGAGTAGCAGCTCCATTTTGTAGATAAGGAAACAAAGAGTCAGATGAAGCGATTGGCTATCATTTTTGGGCTCCTAAGCCAGCACTGTTTTTCTATTACTACAACAGAAGACAGAGGCATCACTGGACGGACAGTCATGGTCTGAGAGAATGAGAGTTTGGAGGGGAGGGGTGGGAGGTTGGGTGAGCCTGGTGGTGGGTATTATGGAGGGCACGTATTGCATGGAACACAGGGTGTGGTGCGTAAACAATTCTAGAACACTGAAAAGAAATTAGAAAAATAAATAAAAATTTTTAAAAAGAAGTAAAAAATATTCATTTAAACTTCTTTAAAAAAAAAAAAAAAGAATGGGAGATTGGACTGGCGGCATGTTCAGGGTCCCTGTGCCCCGATCTGGTTTATCTCCCCAGCTCACCTGGCCTCAGTTAGGGCAGATGCCTCTCCCTAGACCTCTTCCAGCTGCCCCCACTCCAGTGACCTAGGCAGACCCCTCCTTCCTCTTCTTGTTGGCTCAAATGCTTCTCTCCTTTTTGGCCCCCAGCTCAGGCCCCACTTCCCCCAGCAGGAACGCACAGACCTCAGCTATTGCCAGTGGGACATGATCGACAGGTCTGGTATTCAGGAGGCTTCTAGAATGTGGGCTTCCCATCATGACAACTTCACAAAAACTTGTGTCTTTTTCCTCTAATAACCAGAGTACAGTTTGCTAACATTTATTGAGTCCTCGCTGCACATGAAGCGACCTTGATAGTGACATGATAGGTATAGTCATTACCCTTTTGCATTTTGTAAGAAGGAACTGCATCTTAGAATAATACAGAGACAGGTCTCAGCTGGTGAGTGGTGGAGCTGAGAACCACTGGGGTTGAGCTCCAGAGCCCCTGAGCTGTGGTCCAGGAGCCATGCAGCCTCTGCACAGCCCTCTCCGTCTTCAGATGCTTTCCTTCATAGTAGCACTGGTAGGGAGCAGGGCGAGTCTGAACATTTAGTGTGTGATGACTCACTGGTGCCCTTTGTCGGAGATGCAAATTCCACCCCCATTGACAGATCCTGGTTTGCTTTCTGATTCGGTTGGCCTGAGCAAGGGCTGGAAGTTTGCAGGCCTATGAGATAATTCTGATGTAGATGGTTCCCACCAATCTTCAGTGAGTGGAGACAGCCCATCAGAACAGAGAAGAACGGTCAGAAGAAGTGTTCTTAAACAGAAGCAGAACCCAGAACTGAACTAGATGGAGAAAAATGATAGCAAGGAGGGGACACAGACCCTACAAGACAGAAGGGAGAGCAGAGTAGCAGGGCCGGGTGTCCTGCCTGGAAACTTCTAGATGGCAGTTTACAGCTGTGGCTGCCTTCAGAGTCTTTAGCCCCTTGACACACTCAGCTCTGGCCGCCAAAACATGATTCTTGATCCCTCCTGTCTGTCTCTACACAGTGCCATATGCAAAAAATTTCACTCACTTAGTACTTCCTGACCATGGATAAACACACCAAAAAGGAATAAACAGCCTCACCTTACCTAGATAACCTCACTCTAATCCCAAGAGCCATGATGATCATGGTTTTAGTTCATTTTTGCAACTAGAAGGAAGGAAGGAAGCTGGGGGACAGGAGGAAGGAAAGGAGACCACCTAAGTGTCCCCCAAGGAAATGCATACAAACAGATTCTCCATCACACTCACTGGTCAGGGTATTTATTTGCCTGGGGCTGACTTATAATAACCCAGTCTGTTCGTCTTTTAAGTTATAAAGAACTCCACAATATCTTTCTCACGATTTTTCTCCCATTACACCTTTCGCTTAGGTGTGTTTAATATTTTATTACGAAGCAGTGAGGAACCAGGATGGTTTTTATCTCCTTGGTGTACCCTAAGGCTTCTCTCAATAAAATGTTTGCAGGGTTTGTATGCTCGCTCTTTAAAAGTTGGAAAGGGAAATTCTTGAGAAAACAAGTAGCCAACACGCAACTCTGACAGAATCTGGGGCTGACATTTGCAGAAGCTCTTCCTCCCTATTTGACTTCCCAAACTTTGTAAGAGGAGAAGTAGGTATGTAAACCAACTTACAATTTTACTTCCTTGTGATAATCAGAGTCAGACTCCTTTGGCAAAGAGAGCCTTGCGAAGTCTTTGCCTCTGTTGAGGACTCAGGGTATCTGAGTGATGTCAGGTGTCTGCTGCCTTGCATATATAAGGGTGATGACCGTGACAGTGACCGCTGCTGTGGTGGCCCTTGGTGAGAAAGCATTTGTCCTGACGAGTTCACCGGGGCCCCAGGGTACCAGCAAAATCCACGTCACGCATGGAGGGATAAACAGGGCCACCCGGAGAACCACTATGGCCCCTTCGTTACCACATTCCCCTCCCCTACACACATGCTGGCCCTCTACCAGCGACAAGCTGAGAGTCGGCCTTCTCAGTCCCCCTAACTGACAACACCCCTTGGCAGGAGATTTTAAACATAGTCATTCAGGCTGCTACTTCCTCTGGCTTCTCTGGCCTTCTCGTCCCTGCTCTTTATTTTTGGATTTGCAGAAATGTCAGGATGGCCAGGTATCAGTGACAGGAAGTTTGGGCCCGTGAAGTAATTCCTGGGGTATGTGTGACTCCCAATGCCTCAAAGGCTCTGCTGTCACTGAGCCTCCACGGGAGGAGTGAACAGCTAATCCCTTGATTCAATGAAATCTATTTCTGTTGCTAGGGGAACCCATGGGCCAAGGAGAGGCCACAGTCTCCACACTAACCCACACACCGTTCTCCACCTTACAGATTGTAGTTCTCAGTCTTCCCCAGCTGAGTTTCCAAAATGATGAGCCCCCTACCCATTAGGGAATTTTCGGGCTCCTGCACCTTTTCCCTGCAACTTTTTGGATTCCCTCAGGTTTAAGTTCTTGTCTGTCACCTGAGAGCCCTTGGAGGTCCTAAGACAATGGGACTCACTGAGAGATATCTGGGACAAAGGGTCTATACTCTTTTTCATCTTCCCATCTGCCGTAATTTTTCAGAACTATCCAAATTCCAAATGATCTGTTTTATTGTCTCCTTTGTCCTTTTTATCTCCATAAGTTGCCCAAGTGACTTGGACCTACATTGTCCAATATGGTCAACATTAGCCACATAGGGCGATTGTGTACTTGCGATGGGACTAGTCTAAATTGAGAGATGCTGTAAGGATAAAATATACACCAAATTTCAGAAATGTAGTACAAAAGAATTTTAAAGATCTCAGTGATTTTGTTATATTGATTACATGTTGTAATGATAATATTTGTCACTGAAAATATATCATCAAAGTTAATTTCACCTTTTCACTTTTTGAATGTGGTTACTAGAAAAAATTTAAATTTATTTCTATCGGACATCACTGACCTAGACATCCAAATATCTCAGAGTCCAAATTATGGTTGCTTATATTGGGAAGCAGCACAGAAAAATCTTTTGGACTTTTAGTTTTAGTTCAGGAAAGAGCAGCCCATCATCTCCTCTGTTCCTCACACCTCACAGAAGGGACACTGGAGAGTGACCTTCAGAAATGCCATCACTTCCAACGCTTTGCAATTCCCATCTCCATCCACCTGCCCCTTCTAAATGGAAGTCTCATGTTGCTGTACTTATTACCAAGAAAGGGTCTGGACTCTTGTAGTACTAGTTTCCAAAATTTAAAGAAATCGCTGCTGAATACAAACACACCCAGCTCAGGGGCTGGCGCAGAACTCAATAGAGGGCAAAGGAGTCTTCACTCTTTTAAATCCCCAGGTAGAGAAATGTGGTCAGAATCAAGGTCTTCTAAAGATTTTTTTAAAATTTTTATTTATTTATTTGACAGAGATTGCAAGTAGGCAGAGAGGCAGGTAGAGAGAGAGGGGGAGGGGAGGCAGGCTGTCCACAGAGCAGAGAGCCCGATGCGGGACTCGATCCCAGGACCCTGAGATCATGACCCAAGCCGAAGGCAGAGGCTTAACCCACTTAGCCACCCAGGCACCCCAGAGTCAAGGTCTTTATCAGCATCTCCTTTCCTGCTCAGCTCTCCCTTGCTACTTTGTGCATTTGTCAGGAGGTTACAATGGAATCCCATGCTTAACTAATAATATTATAAAGGCTCTGGACTTTGTGAAAGGAAGCTTTGCAAAACCTAGTTTAAAAAAAATAACAACAGCAGGGGCACCTGGGTGGCTCAGTGGGTTAAGTGAGCTCAGGTCATGATCCCAGGGTCCTGGGATTGAGTCCCACACCTGGCTCCCTGCTCAGCAGGGAGCCTGTTTCTCCCTCTGCCTCTGCCACTCCCCCTGCTTATACTCTCTCTTTCTCTGTTGAATAAATAAGTAAAGTCTTTAAAAACAACAACAAGGGTAATCAGAACTGTGCAGAGGGAGGGAGCCTGTGCCCATATCCCTGAGAATAAGAAAACCAGGAACCAGTCCTTAAGAGTCTTAGGGGTATGGGGGGGGTGGCAAAGCACAGATCATGCCAGGCAACATGTGATGACTTTTTTCTTTCCTCCTCTTTCTTTCTTTTCTCCTCTGACAGAAGAAAATTAGTGCTTCAAAGGAACACAAGTAGATGGAATATTTTCTTGAATTCTAGAGAAGCATTTGACAGATGTCACAGGAATCTTATTCAAAGTATTCACTGAAACTTGCTCAGAGCCGGGGTGGGGAGATGAAGGCCTGCTGCCTGAGAAGCCCCCCAGGACAGAAGCTTGGAGGCCCTGCAAACGTCCTACCATGTGTCCATGGGGGGCCTAACCAAGACCTTCAATTTTCCATGTGTCTTAAAGGAAAAATGAAACAATCAATAACTGGAGTTTAAATGTTAAAATCCTGGATGCCTCTATGGCTGTCGGTTAAGCATCTGCTTTCGACTAGGGTCGTGATCCTGGGGGCCTGGGATCAAGCCCCACTTCAGGCTCGCTATCAGCAGGGAGTCTGCTTCTCCTTCTACCCCTGCCACCTGCTCGTGAGATCTCTCCCTCTCTTCCTTCTTTCTCTCTCAAATAAATAAATAAAATCTTTTTAAAAAAGAAAAAGAAATAAATGTTAAGTTCCCAAAACATTATTTCAGCAGGAGTGTTGGCCAACCACACACAAAAAAAGCCCTTGGCCTAGACTTGCCTCTGTAGTGGGCTGCCCACTGGGTTTACTCCTCTGCCAAGTACAAGTATGACAGAAGCCCCTCTTTGCCCCCTAACTTGCTTCCAGACTTTCTGTCTCCCACCATTGGCCTATATTTTACTCCCCCCACACAGAACATACTCAAAAAAAGCTGCTCCACTGAACGATACCTCCTGATGTTAAAAAATAATGATAACATTCAGAATTTTTCTTTTATGAGTACATAACAAGAAATGGAATTAATATGCATTCACTTAAATGGAATTTCAGTTCTCTTTTAGCCACATAGTGTAGTAAATGAGTCTCTGTAGCTTTTTTTTTCTACACGTATCTGAGTCAGCTCCCTTGTTTCTATGTCACTCCCTGCCCCCCAACCTACAGCTTGATTCTCCTATTTCTTTCTAAAGCCCAGCACCTGCACCTAACGTGTTGGCATGAGGCCTGAGCAGTGAGGGGGCTCAACACATTCTTCTGCTGGACAAGGAGACCATTAATGAGGGTGAAAGACCTAGAGTGAGGAGGAAAGATGAGCTTGGTTTTAGGGCTGAAGCTGAGGGTTGGTTCTAGAAATATACACTGTGGAGACATCAGAGACATTAGTAATAAGTGTGAGAACTCGAGATGGTCTATGTATGGAGTGCAGGCTGCATATAAGACTCAGGGCTGAGAAGGTCTGATCAGAGGATGGAAAGCCCAGAAACATGGTGTCATGGGAGCCTTCCTAATAGTGAGTTCTGAGGAGCAGGTGGCCAATAGCACAGCAAAGGGGGTGTACAAATAGGAGAGCAGCAAAGAGTCCACAGAAGGTGCTAGTGAGACTCTTTTTGACCTTGGGGAAGGTCCTTTCTGTGGAGATCAAGTAAGCCAAGCCAGACATTTAAATATACTACTAAGCATGTTATTCAATGCTACTAATTATTTCTCCTGATGCAGATGACTAGAATTTATATATAATAGCATCTACTGAAGTCAGTTTTCTGGTTTTGACAATGTACCATCGTTACATAAGATGTTATTGGGGGAAGCTGGGTGAAAGGGATACAGGAACTCTCTGTACTATTTTTGCAACTTCTTGTGAGTCTTAAAATATTCCCAAATAAAAAGTATTTTTTAAAAAGAGTTAATATGGTAAGGCATTTCCAGAAATTCACACTCAACCCCACGCACAGGCTTCTGCACTCTAACTGCCCCCACACCCAGACACACACTCTCCCCTCAAAGGGCAGCGGCTGTCCCCTTCATTCACCCTGAACTATGGCGGAGAGTGAAAACCGCAAGGAGCAGAGCGGCTTAGGCTCTGCCAGCTTTGGTGGCTAGCCCCTAACCTTAGACCTGGTGTTCCCCCTTGTGGGACCCTCCTTTTCTCCCCTGTGACCCCAACTCTCCAGGTTTGGGGGCTTTTGGTGAAAGCCTATGTGCTTCCTTTCTTTCCACATGACACGGTCATGACCACTAACCAGGCGTCTGCTTTCCTCTTGTTCCCTTTCAGGATGCTTCCATTGCACACAGATTCCACGTGATGAGAGAAAAACACCCTGAAAAATTCAACAGCAGGTAAGAGTGTCATGAGACTGCATCCCTCCCCGTAGGCACTGCCCGCTGGCTCCGCCCCGCCCCACGCAGCCGGCTAGACCCAGGCATCCACCTGCTCTCACCCAAACCTTCTTGGCCCGGCCTCCTGGGGACTTGACTTGGCTTTCCTGCCACGTTGCCGGAAGGAGGGTTTCCATTTCCAAGCAGAAATCCGTGTCAGAAACCTGCCACAGGCTGGCCGCCTGTCCCCTCCCAGAGGATGCTGTGCAGTGGGAGGGACGGCGGGCCGGCAGGGAGGGCGTGGTATGCCGGCCTTAAGAGGTGGAGATCTGCTCTTGGCTAACTAGAACCCCACTCCAGGGGCTTGGCCGCTTTCTCTAGGCGGAAAGCTCCCGAAGCCCCCAGCCCCCGAGAATTTCTGTGGGGAGGGGCAGGCGGGACGGCAGGGGCCTCAGCTCCTCTGGGTCTCGAAGGGAGGGGGAGGCAGCGGCGGGGTCTGGGCCGGAGGGTGGAGAGGGCGTCGCCTCCGCGTCCCCCGACAGCAGAGGGCAGCAGAGGGAGGCCCCTGCAGAGGCTGTGAGACCAGAAGCCGGCCAGGTCCCAGCCTCAGCCCCTGGGTGAAGCCTGGATGTTAGGTCCAAAAATACAAGGAGAGAGAAAACCAGTCCTCTCGCAAACAAAACTAAACCCTTCTTGCTGGTGGGAGGCAATATGCTAGAAGTGAGTTGTGACTGGCACATAGCTAACCCGGGATTGCTAAAATACCTTTCTCCATTCTTCTTTCCTTTTTTCTTCTCTTTGGTTGATTTCCATCCCTGTTCCCCTTTGTTGTGCCATTGCAAGATGACCATTGGGTCCCTCCCCACCCTCCAGCAGGTGGGGAGGAGGAATGCAGACTGAGCCTGAAGGGAGTGACTTATTCAGTCCGTAGGATTTCCTTCAGAGCAGAGGTCCAGTGTTGCCTGAAGACATTTGTCTAAAGCCTTGCACCCCCAAAGAGGGCCATCATTTTCATTCCTGATCCTTTCCCCTGACCCCACTGCCCGGAAGGTTAACCGGGAAAAAGAAAGTCTTATCACAACATACTTCAGCTGCAGGAAAAGTTATCTGCGATCTACTAGCTGAATTGATCTTCTTAGTGTGGTCCTTCTGTCCTAGGCCTGTTCCTCCTGGCCCTCCCACATCCTGCACACAATCACGAATCACTATTAACAGGTGTACATCCAACTCCCACCCTTACTGTAATCAGCCGACCCTCCTTGCACATTCTTCGTCATTTTCCCATACACGCTAAATTATTCCTTCTCTTCCACCTCTGAGGTGCTCTTTTCCCAGAGGTGATCTTACGCATACCCTTACACACATACTTGTTAAAATGCCAGATGCCTGTGAAATCCATAGCGGTTCTGCTCATTCGTTCATTCCACACTAGCTTTTGAAAACAGACTCTGTACCAGGCACTGTTCTGTAGGTGTTTTGGACAGAGGGGCTCACAGTCCAGGGATGCAGACTGGAAGGCAGATATGCAGAGTGACTTGTGTTTAGTGCTATGAATCGAGCTAACCTATGGGAACACAAAGCAAGGACATGGAATTTGGTGTGGAAGGGCTTCTATCTGTGGAGAGGCCAAGACCTGGGAAACAAGTGTATATCTTCCAGGTTGACAAAAAGAGAAGGACAGGGGCACCTGGGTGGCTCAGAGGGTTAAGCCTCCGCCTTTGGCTCCGGTCATGGTCTCAGGGTCCTGGGATCGAGCCCCGCATTGGGCTCTCTGCTCAGGAAGGAGCCTGCTCCCCTCCCCCGCCCCCCCGCCTGCCTCTCTGCCTACTTGTGATCTCTCTCCTCTCTGTCAAATAAATAAATAAAATCTTTACAAAAGAGAGAGAGAGAAAAGGCAGCCCAGGGAGAAGGAAGCAAACGTACAGAAGGATAATAACAAGGAATGAGAGGAAGCAGCATGCTCGGGGAAGAGCAAAGGAAGTTTGTAGAGTGATGAAGCAGAGGAAGGCAGAAATTTCTCCATGTTCCATAAATCAGTAGGTCCTCACAGGACATATAAATAGAGTGGTTGTCGATTGCCCACATGATTAAATATAATTAGAAAGATACCTCGGTCAGAAAAAAGTTGCAATTGTGCCTTTCACTGTGATCTGGTAACTGTTTTTCCTTCCCACTTCCTCCATGCCATTAATAAGACTAGGCTACAGGTAGTTGCACACCCTTCCCCTGGTCAAGGTCAAGGTAGTGGGGTTGCCCAGGATGAGAGGCACACAGATTTGCGTGCCTCCAAATAAAGGGAGACCTAGTGGCGCAGAGGTGGGTCCTGCGGCACAAGGTCCTAGCAGCCGTCCTAGTAAGAACTTTGAGTCCTTGCTGCTTCTACCCCGCCTGCTTGCTCTGGTGTAAAACACTCATGAGTGCCTGCTTTGTCCACCAAGAGGCAGGCGAGCAGCCATTTTCTCCAGGCTTCCTTATTTAGCTTTGGAGATGGTTTTAAATAGGCAGGTGGTTGTTGCCATGGTTACCCCATTACACCAGCGGCTAAACTTAGGAAGGGCCACAAGGGATAGGAAGAAAGATTGATACCGGAGATTTGGAAATGTAAACGATATTATCAAACAAGCCTTCATTTTACTTGGCTGAACTTAGGTTTTCCAGAGAGTAGCCACTGCTTGCTTGGCTAGATGTCCTTACAGTGAAGGTGCCGGGCCAAGCCCTCGGGGACAACCCTGAGGTTAAATCTGGGGAGTTGTAACTGTTTTGTTTTGGTTTGAACATGGGCTAGAATTTATCGGGAACTTGAATCTTTCACAGGGCTCATTCACTTTTCTGGGCTATTCTAACAAGAATCCTCAACCTGAGTTACAAAGGCTGCAGGAGCTCCAGGAACCCCTTGAAATTGTATAGAGGACACTGAATATACTTTTCTGGAGAGAAAATACCTACCTATCAGAAGGAGCTCGCAGGGACCCGTGGCCCTCTTATGGCTTAAAGTCACAGTTCTGAGGCCTCCTTAAATCCTAAAAGGGGGTCGGGGTTTGGTTGGGGTTTTAGGAAATTCTTCTTCCTTTGGCTTCTCTACACAGGTTGTTGCCAGAGAAGGTGGCTGGTTGTACAAAACTAAGTTATGTTCGTTAGTGGAATAGCTTTGTTGATGGAGCAAGAACCAGACCCAAGAATGCAGGAACACGAGCCAACTGCGATGGGCAAGGATAAAAAGGCCTTTAATGGGGCTATTTTTGGTACATTCTGCTTCCTAATCATTGACAGGCTAATAATTAATTGCTAGTTTGGAAATATTATGAAAAATTATCATCTTGTCGTTGGCAAAAACAACAGAAGACAGATTTAATTCAGCTAAGATTCTGACATGTGTTAGAAGGTGTTCTAGGCTACAAGGGTAAATAAAACCTGATTCCTGCCTTCAGGGAATTCATGTGTAGCAAAGAAGGAAGAGTAATCTTCAAATATTTTTTATGAAGTGATTTTCACGTACAAGGAGGTTCCATTTTGTAGGTCATACAGCATAAAGGAAGCTGGATAGTGTAAGACACTTACTAATGGTTATGTCCCTACATCACTTATAAATGAATTGTTTAAAAGACAGAAATGGTGTTATAGGGAACCAAAGAAAGAACTGTTATTTTCTGAGCTCCTACTAGGTGCCAAGTGATAAACTAGGTTCTTCAAATACATTATGTTATTGACATCCCACGATCACCCTACAAGGTAAATATTAGATAAAGGGATTTTATAGGTAAAGACACTGAGGCTGGGAGAAGCCAAGTCACCTGACTGAAATGAGACATCTTTGTAAGCACTGGAGCTGAGTGATTCTAAGCCAGTGCCTAACTTCTCCAGACTTCAGACTCTGACTTCTGCACTTGCTTTCTCCTGTGGATTTCATTCATCAAATACCTATTGTATATCAAACACGCTGATGGGTACTACATACACGGTCCCACTCTGTGCTCACAGTAACATGCAAGGTTAAGTGCTGTGATCTCCATTTTAGAGAAGAAAACACGGAGGCCAAGGAGGGTAGAGCTTTTATCACCTCTGTCCATCTTTATGGATTGTCTCTGTGGGAAGATGCCTGCTGAGTTCCAAAGGGGGACCACGGGCATGCCACCCACTCTCAGTTGTGTGGCATGACTCTTCTTCCTGTCTCCATGTCCATGGCACAGAGCAGGACTGAATATAGATGGGGGCAGCCAGTGCAAGGTTAACATGCAGGGCCCTTTAAGAATTTCAAGTCCACGGGAATAGAGCTTTAATTAAACCAAGAACAGAGCCCTTCTGGTGTCCGGTTCCTTGCACCTATGTAGACTTCTCTTTCGTAAGGTGGCCCTGGCAAGGAGAGAGGAATTTATTTAAAACAAACAAGCAAACAAACAAACAAGCCTCACAGGTTCCAGGGCTCATGGAGGGGGGACGCTTGCAAGAAAGGCAAAAGGAATGGAGGAAAGATGGCTTCAGCCAGGGAGGAGGGAAGGGATGATAAGTCCCGCAAACGCGCGGTGGTCTGTGTTAGCGGGTGAGCCGATGACACCGCAGAAGTCTTGCGGGTCGCTAAGAACCAGTTCTCCGTGGAGTTTCTGGATGAACTCTCTGTGAAGGGTTTTTTTGATTTATGGAATATATACACGAAAGCTCCCAAATCCCAGTGTCACTGTGGCTGAGTGTCCAGAAAGAGAAGTCTAGCAGTGGAATTCTTTTCGTTGTTGCTCTGCTCATAAACTCTGAGCACTTGGAGAATGTGTTATTCCAAACCTGTCGAGTGCCATCCACTTGACTATGTCCCTCAGCAGTTTAGGCTGAAGCAAAGTATTTCCTGTTAGACACTTCAAAGGCACCGAAACGGTGCTTCATTCCTACCAAAAGCGGACCACCTTTCCCAAAAGCCCTTGGATAATTAGTACACTCTGGAGTGTTAGCTTTCTTGGACCCAGGCCCGTGGAGTAATTGATGAGGGGTTCCCCTAGAAGTCCTTATGTAGCCTGAGACCTTAAGAGGTTGGA